GCGACTCATGCCTCGCACGAAAACAACCCCAGAAACACAACACATTCATATACATAAGAAACTACACATTACTAGTCTTGCTTTGATACAGGGCAATCAGAAATTGGAAGCACTTGGTCCCCTTTACCCATTGCATCATTCTAATAGCCACTGGCTATCTGTACGTGCCCGTTCACTACGGATTTGCAAAGCCAATGTGCTATAAATGTGCTTGTTTCACGTCAGCAATTGAGAAGATTAACTGAAATGTTAACATCTCACGACATGTCGTCTTTCGGTCTTGAAGCGACAGGTTAAACACATAAAATCCAAAAGGAAAGAATGAAACCATTCGATCAGTAACAATAAATGAGTGCATTACAATGCAGTCGATTAGGTATGAACGGTTCCCATGAAACAATACGCAACGCTCAGCCAGAGATAGAAAGAAATATGCTCACTTGTAAAACCTCTATTGCTGCGTCCACCAAAGATCGAACGGGTAAATCAATTGGTTGTGTGCGAAACTCGTTTAGGTAGAATCGCAGACGCGGTCCGGCCAAACCCTCACCCGGGTCCAAACGGAAACGTTGTACCTCCAACAGGTTCGTACGATTGAAACGGCCTAGCTTACCCAGAACCTGTCAGAAACAAAAAAAGGCCGGCAGTAAAAGGATGGATCAGCTTACGAAACGCAATTCAATTGAAATGCGCTTTGATCTGATTTTGATCCACTTCATTAAGAACATATTTGGTACGACTGAAACAAGCAGCGCGTCACCATTTTCGATAAATGTACAAGCGCATACTCACTAAGCTTAAGTCTCGTTGAGTTCGGTACCAGATCGGAGATATTTTCCTACAGAGTACTAGTGAAATTGAAGTAGCGCCACAAACTAGATTGAGTGAATATAGAAAAAGTTAACAATGAACGTAGTAAATTTGACAATATAACCCAGGCGATTGATGAGGTATTCGATTATTTTTTACCTTGAAACAGAAGCGGTGTGTGAGAAATGACCTTGGGAGAAAAAGGCGAAACCATCCAGAAAAACCTACCCCCCCCCCTCCAACGCGATAACTCCAACATTGTTTCCAAATCGATTCCAAAGAACCCTGTTAACGCGCAGAGTTGTCTTCTTTCAACATATTTTGAAGCGTCAAATACAATAATGCGAGGCTAACGCTCGTGTGCGAATCGTTTACATTAGGACTGCTCTGACAATTAGGAAAAGCTAATGGCAAATCACACGGAGTCTGACTCTAACTTCTCCTCATAAGAAAGACTGGATGTCAAATCAAACAGTCGAGATTCAGAGAAAAATACTTGCTTTATTTACGAGCGTTCCGTTACGGTGAGTTTCAACTTCGCTACATGTGGGCAAGAACCCATCTTAATTTGGGAATCACCCCACAGAATGCATCAACTAAAGTAAGTACTTGCTAGGATTGATATCAGATTATACAGGATGTTCACTTAAGTGTTAAGCAAGTTTCCTGAACTCCGAAAAGGAAACCCAACTTTACCAATCCGAGATTTCGGTTTTTTATATCTATTCTATCGGGCTCGCATGCAACAGAGGAAAGGAATAGGCGCAATAAGTCGGGGGGGAAACTCACTTTGAATGACATTTTCTGTACATACTCACTAGATGAATGCAGCGAGTTATACAGAGCCAAAAGCATATCACCCCGAACCTGATGAAGATGATCATGCAGAAAATCCGGTTGCATGTTATCTACACAGAGCTCCAAAGTGCGCAAACCCTGGACAGAGGCAGAAATGGTGGATGATGATGATGACTATGGAACAAATAGTTGACAATGAAGAAAAGTCCATCAATCGAAATCACAGACGAAAATACGTAGAACGAAGTCTGAAAAGTGATGTATACTAACTAAAAGACAGTGTACAGTGAAGAAGTAACTTCCTGAATTGGAATCAAGCTAAAAGGATACGACAAGGAACGGATGTTAACGGCAAGAGATGATCACACCTCGAAAAAACTAGATTTACTTCAGTATGCTTACCGGCAGATAAAATTAAAACCATCAGATCCAATAAGTCTCATTTATCAAGATCGAAAGAAGACATATGTCGCGAGATGTTAACATTTCGTTTAATCTTCTCAATCGCTGACGTAAAACAAACAAGCACATTTATAGCACATTGAATTTGTAAATCGTTGAGAACGGACATGCACAGTTAGACAGGGGCTATTGGAATTAAAAATAAAATATAGGTCAACTCCACGGCAAGTGAATTGATTGGA